AAACCAAACCAAACCGAATTAGAATTCGGTTTTCGGTTTGGTCTAGAAAATTTGAATTCGATTTGGTTCGGTTTTCGAATTGGACAAAAAAAATTTCAAACCAAAGAAATCGATTCGAGGAAACCGAAAAACCAAAAAACCGAACCGATTCCCACCCCTACTTGGATTTGTTTATTACTTCTTCCTCGCTGCACACTGCAGTGTTTAGGCCAAAAAATAGAAAAGAATGTAGGTCTGGGAATAGAAAATCCTTACAGCAAAGCTCCATCCTGAAGTCCTTGGATACATGGGGGAAAGAGGATGGTATCAGGAAGTTAGTTCAAAATATGTTAATCAATCCCGAGGTTGGGGCCATGGGACAGGGTGGAGGTATCCTTCAGAAGGAGTCTACATCAAGTAACACCAACATCAGGCAGTGTCTCCGTAAGGTTGCAGATGGGCATTTTACGGCAAATGTGAAAGTGTTATGCTCATCGGGTGTTGCACCATATAATGCCGATACTATTAAAGCTTTGGAGGACAAACACCCTTTCAGGCCACCCCCATCCATGTCGAGCTCCATAATTTCTGAACCTCCCCTTGTAGCAGACTTTGACTGTGTATTTGGTTGCATCAAATCTTTCCCTAAAGGAACTTCTTGCGGGAGAGATGGCTTGAGGGCTCAACACTTACTGGATGCCCTTTGTGGAGAATGGTCTGCTATAGCCACAAATCTCATACGTGCTATCACTTCAGTGGTTAATTTATGGTTAGCGGTAAGATGCCCAACCATTTTGGCAGAGTTTGTTGCATCCGCTCCTCTCACGCTTCTGCTTAAACCTAACAACGGGATTCATCCGATTGCAGTAGGCACTATATGGAGACATCTGGTTTCCAAGGTTGCCATGAAAGGTGTGAGTAAAGAAATGGCCAAGTACCTTAATGATTTTCAGTTCGGGGTTGGTGTATTCGGGGGTGCTGAGGCTGTGTTACACAGTGCCAATAGGGTGTTGAGTGAACACCATGCTGATGGGTCTTTTGTAATGCTGACAGTAGATTTCTCGAATGCCTTTAACCTGGTGGATAGACCAGCATTTCTCCACGAGGTTAAGAGGATGTGCCCTTCTATTTCTTTGTGGGTGAATTTCTTGTACGGGCAAGCAGCGAGACTTTATATCGGAGACCAACATATATGGCCTGCCACTGGGGTGAAGCAAGGCGACCCCTTGGGCCCTCTTCTCTTTGCCCTCGTTTTGCACCCGCTTGTGCACAAGATTAGAGACAATTGTAAGCTCCTTCTCTATGCTTGGTATCTAGATGATGGGACTGTCATTGGGGATTCAGAGGAGGTGGCTAGAGTGTTGAACATTATTTGGTTGAATGGTCCAGGCTTGGGTCTTGAGTTGAACATCAAGAAAACGGAGATTTTTTTGGCCCATCTGTGATGGTAGGAAGCTTCGTGCCGATTTATTTCCAACGGATATAGGGAGACCTTCTTTAGGGGTGAAGCTCCTTGGGGGAGCTGTGAGCAGAGACGCATGGTTTATTAGCGGGCTGGCCATGAAGAGAGCGGTCAATGATACTGATTTTATGAGTCTTCTTCCACAACTATGTGACCCGCAGAGTGAGCTCCTTTTGCTTCGATCGTGTATGGGCATTGCAAAACTTTTTTTTGGTTTAAGGACTTGCCAGCCGGTGCACATAGAAGAGGCGGCTTTGTTCTTTGACAAAGGATTGCGCAGGTCTATCGAGGATAGGGTGGTATGTGGAGGCCCCTTCTTTGGAGACATTCAATGGCGTCTGGCTTCCTTACCTATTCGTTTTGGTAGTTTGGGTTTGTACTCGGCATACGAGGTTTCCTCCTACGCATTTGTAGCCTCGAGGGCCCAATCTTGGGCATTACAAGACCACATCTTACGTGACCGTGACATATGTGGTATGGACTCTGATTACCTATGTGCTATGACTCGTCTTCGCGATACAATTTCGGCATTCGACTGTAGCGGTTTCACTAATAAGGACACCGCCCCCCCTAAATACCAAAAAGCATTGGCGTGTGCCCTTTTTAGCAAAATCGTCAAAGATATGGAAGTGGACTTCGACATGACTATTAGACAGAAAGCAGTTTTTGAGTGTCTTCGGGCACCTCATGCTCAGGATTTTCTACTAACTATCCTTATTGATGGCCTTGGCCAGCATATGTCTCCTGTGGAGTACCGAACTATCCTTCGTTACCGCCTCATGATTCCTCTATTCCCAATTGACGAGATATGCTCAGTTTGCCGCAAGGCATGTTTGGATACCTTTGGGGAACTTGCGGTTCATTGTAGAGAGCTCCCTGGTTTCAAGTACAAACATGATGTGGTTAGGGATGTTCTATTTGATGCTTATCGGCGTGCTGGTATTTCCGCGAAGAAAGAAGCGTCAGTGAACTTTTTGACGGACCCGCAGGATGGAAGATCCACACTTAGACCGACTGACATTTTGGTCTTTGGATGGGTAGGAGGGAAGCACGCGTGTGTTGATCTTACTGGGGTCTCTCCTCTCGTCGGTTTGAGGAACGGGGGTTTCACAGCAGGGCATGCCGCTTTGAAAGTCGTTGCGTGCAAAGTGGCAAAACACGAGAATGCATGTATAGAAAATCAACATGTGTTTGTACCTTTTGCATTTGACACATTTGGTTTTCTCGCACCAGAGGCGGTGGAGCTCATCAACAGAGTCCAACGGGTCATGCACTCTAATGTCATATCTTCTAGATCCACAGATGTTGTTTTCAAAAGGATTAGTTTTGCGATCCAGAAAGGGCTAGCGACGCAGTTTGTTGTCAGTTTCCTTCCATCGATATGTATTGAACTATATTATGTTTTTTGAATATATTTAGTTAAATTAATTTATTTAAATATAAAACAATAATTGGTCATACATTGTGATCTTGTATACCACAAAAAACAATGAAAACATGGTAAAATTAAGATGAGGCTGATGTGGCCGGAAAAAAAAATAGTGTCAACCATGACATTATTCCTTTTATTTTATTTTTCATTTAGATTAAAGACTATTTATACTAAACAAATACTGTATTATATCCGTATCCACTTAAAAACTAGTTTTCATCGGACACTTAACGTAATTCAATTATCTGTAACACTCATTTATTTTAGCAAAAAGTAGAAGTAAAAAAATATATATGTAAAAAGATTGAAGTGTATGTTTGCATGATAAAAATGATAATAAATAATAAATAAATATAAATATTAATCATATAATAAGAATAGTGAAAATATGAAATGACTAAACCAGCGCGTGCATGCCAACAAGTCCCCTCCTATCATCTGATCCATGTATTGTCACTGTCGTCCCCCCACCACCACCCTCCCCTTCAGCTTTTATATCTCCGATCCCCATTCCCACCACATTCCATCCTCTTTCTCTCTCTCCCCATGTGCATCTGCTAGTTCAATTCACCACTACTTTCTCCTCCCCCCTTCACCGGAGCTATGGTGATGCGATGAAGGAGCGTCAACGATGGCAGCCTGAAGAAGACGCTCTCCTCCGTGCTTACGTTAACCAGTACGGCCCTCGAGAATGGAATCTCATCTCTCAACGCATGTCCAAACCCTTAGATCGTGATCCCAAATCGTGTCTCGAGCGTTGGAAGAATTATCTCAAACCCGGAATCAAAAAAGGATCGCTTACACCACAAGAACAGACACTGGTGATTTCACTTCAGGCGAAGTACGGAAACAAGTGGAAAAAGATCGCCTCCGAAGTCCCCGGCCGAACAGCTAAGCGCTTAGGAAAGTGGTGGGAGGTTTTCAAGGAAAAACAAATCAAACAGCAGATTCAGAATAATAAGAAGTCCGGATCGTCGACTTCGAATCCGCCGCCGCCGCCGCCGTCTGTGGCGGTTGTTTCCGGTTGCTGTGGTTCGCCGGAAAAAGCTATCCAAGGTACGTACGATCATATACTGGAGACTTTCGCAGAGAAGTACGTGCAACCGTACTTGAAACCAGCTCCGGTGGTGATGCCAAATCTGAACTCACCGATTCTTTCACTCGGTTCCGGTTCAAATCCGACACCCGACCCGAATGTTACAGCGCCAATGTTACCACCATGGATGAATAACAACAATACGACGTCCTGCTTAACATCGTCTTCTTCCTCAAAGTCAACAACGCCATCTCCATCGGTGAGCCTCACCCTCTCCCCCTCCGAACCGGTGGTTCTTGACCCGGTTCACTCCGACCACCCACTCAACACCCGGTTTTTCCCGGTTCAACAAGTGGGTACATTGGTTCAGTGCTGTAAAGAGGTGGAGGAAGCAAAGCAAAACTGGGTTCAACACAAGAAGGAGGCGACATGGCGGCTGAGCCGGCTGGAACAGCAGTTAGAAGCGGAGAAAAGCCGGAAGAGAAGAGAGAAGATGGAGGAGATAGAAGCAAAGATACGGTGTCTGAGGGAGGAGGAGACGGCGGCGTTAGGGCGGATGGAGAGTGAGTACAGAGAACAGTTGAATGCGTTGCAGAGGGATGCAGAAGGGAAAGAAGTGAAGTTAATGGAATCATGGAGTAATAAGCAAATGAAGTTGAGTAAGCTTGTTGAACAGATTAATGGCGGATTAATTCAACATCAACATATGATTAGTGGAACTAATCATCATCATGGTTTAAGTTAAAATAAGACTGAGTTCCATTTGTTGGAGAAATTTGAGTGTTCATCAATGGAGTTCTTTTAGTGTGTTTTATGAAATGTAATGAAGGGATAATTATTAGCAAGTAATCTTAATTTCATATTGTCTTCTATAGTTACTTTTTAGATTCATTGTTTCTAGTATTTTGGCTTGAAGGATGATGTGGTTCTTTCATAAAAATGTCCTAATCAAATTTGGAAATTGAATCTCCTATACATATATAACGGCAACGAATGGTCTTTTAAATATATTACCAAGGAATGATGAATGAATTGACTCCACCCTTTATTAAGAAAAGATATATAATTGTTTAAAAACCTTTTAAGAAATATTTTATTTCATGACATAATATTTAAACAAAACTACAAAAATAAACTACAAAAATGGTGCTTGTGGTATGTATTTTTTTTGAGGGTTTAGTCTAAGCCTCGATTGTTTTGGTTTTATGGTCCTTGTGGACTAGTTGGTTGTAGATTTGGTCCCTCGATTAACTGAAATGATGTTTAATCTAAACCTCGATTTTTTTGGCTTCATGATTTTTTTGACCTAATTTGGTTGCAGATTCGGTCTCTCGATAACTGAAATGACTGTAATACCCCTGAGGTATTTTTATTTTCTATTTTTCTTTTATTTTTTCTAAAATTCTAATACTTATTTATTTATTTTAATAATTAAAAAATGAGAAGCGGTCTCTCTCTCTCTCTCTCTCTCTCTCTCTCTCTCTCTC